AAATACACGCGAATAAAGGGCGAAAATAGATCTTATTCATGATAAAACATGGATACGTCTAATTAGAACATGATTTGTGTCTGGTTTGCGTAAACGTTCCCGCCCTTCCATTTCTCCACATTGCTCCTTGTGATCAGTCCAATTGTAATAGCTTTTCACTTGATTTTGCACTACTTATTCGCCATACCCAAACCGTTCTAGTATCTGTAAGGTTCCTGAAAGATTTGATATCGCTCGCGGACAAAGAGACTATCAATTAAATTCTGATGAAATAATCGAAGTGTGTAGGACTCGGATGGTCAATTACAAGCAGCGTGATGTACATCGAATTCATTGAGTCGACGTCAAGATTGGCTAGGTTCCGACCTCATCTTTACAATTAAATTGGATGGAGTATCATTAATTAAAAAAATTATAAGTGCTCTTGACCAAATGTCAGTATGGTTTTACCTTCTAAGCTCTATGAACTAATCTCCCAAGTTCTTAAAAATTCCATCAATAGACGATCGACGTTAAGGTGTTTCCTTTTTGGATGAATCAATCTACGTTGTAGATGGTACAGAGTGATGGCTTTTTCAGCCAAAGGTTAAAATTTTGTCTATTTTACGGCTAAAGGTTAATTTCTCTTCCTTTCTTTTTTTAAGACTAATGGTTAAAAGTTTGTCAATTTCTTTTGATGCCTTAACAGATAATTTCTTTGCCGTTTAACGGCGAACGGTTAACTCTATTGAGACCCTCTTTATCAAGTTGTCTGGAAAAACTCCACCGGCAATTTTACCCTATCTTGCAAGGTTTGTGCACATTGGCTTCAAGGACAACAAACATCTTTCCTCTTCGAAAGTCTTAAAGTAGAGCGCGTTGGTGGCTTGTAAATTCATGTTAACATTTGTAGTGAGGAAACTTCTCCTCGCCTCTCGTGTGAATCGCGTAGATTCATCTATTTTTGTTATATTGTTGAATGCATAAGTACAATTGATGAAACAATTATAAACATTTATTGTAATCTCATCATCGAACACCCACAAATTTATTCCTTGGAGCTATTTAAGATATCAAAGAATTAAGTTGAACGGTGAATTTTTGGAGTTAAGTTCAGCCTCGGTATTATGTTTTAGCAAGAGCTGTTCTGATGAAGAGACCGGAGCAATAATTAATAGCTTCTGTAATCTCATCGAAAATACGTCTAAGAAATTTTTGGATTCGAAGAGAATCGCTAGTCCATGGATTTATCAAGAGTGTTTCCTGTGATAAAGATAACAATTTTGTGTGACTTTATTAAGGATTTTTCTGCTTGGGTCTTTTTCTTTAGATGGGTGTAACACGAGCTACGTAAAATCCTATTCGGTGTATTCCTCATCGCCAATTCTTTTCTTAAATCTTTAAGACAATTTTTTCAGTGTTTTTTTTCTATATACGTTTCGGCTGGGC